TCATGCTCTCCAGAATGCACCATGAGGAGGTGAACTAGCTTCACAGCTCTGCTGAGATCTTAAAATCTTAAATTTCTTCACTACCTGGAGACTCACTCCTAGCACCAGCAAAATAGTAACTATGTGCTTTCACCTTAACAGGTAACTAGCATATGAAGTACTGAAGGTTTATTTAAACAACAACTTACTCCATTATGATCCCATCTAAGGTACTTGGAATAATATTGGACTGACTCTACCCTACAAGAAACATCTAGAGAATACAGTGGCAAAAATCAAGAATAGAATAGAATAGAATAGAATAGAATAGAATAGAATAGAATAGAATAGAATAGAATAGAATAGAATGGAATGGAATGGAATGGAATGGAATGGAATGGAATGGAATAGATCTGGAAGGGACCTTGGAGATCTTCTAGTCCAGCCTCCTGCTCAAGCAGGAGAACCTATACCATTTCAGACTAGTGGCTGTCCAGTTTCTTCTTAAAAACCTCTAGTGATGGAGTGCCCACGATTTCTGGATGCAGGTTGTTCCATTGGTTAATTATCCTCACTCTTAGAAAGTTTTTCCTTAATCCAGGTTGCTTCTTTCTTTAATTAGTTTCCAACCATTGTTTCTAGTCCTTCCCTCTGATGCCCTCGTTTTTGTGGCAACCCCTGAGACTGCTATCATGTCACCCTTGTTTCTTCTTTTCTTTAGACTAGTCAAACCCAAGTCCTGCAGCTGTTCTTCATATGTTTTAGTCTCCAGGCCTTTGATCATTTTAGTTGCTCTTCTCTGTACTTATTCCAAGATCTCAACATCTTTTTTGTAGTATGATGACTAAAAATGGTTGCAGTATTCCAGGTCTGGTCTTACTAGGGTTTCATAAAGCGGTACTAATACTTTGTGTGATCTTGATTCTATGCCTCTGTTTATACAATCCAGGTTTGTATTAGCTTTTTTGGCTGTTGCTGCACACTGCTGGCTCATAGTCAAGTGATCGTCCACTAGGACTCCAAGGTCCCTCTCACAGTTACTGTTTTTATGCCAGGTCTCACCTAATCTGTACTTACACTTTGATTTTCCTGTCTAAAGGTAAATTTTTGCTTTTCTCCACATTAAAATTCATTTTGTTGGATGGGGCCCATGGTTCAAGTTTGTCAAGATCTTTTTGGATCCTTCTGGGGTGTTGGCTATTCTTACCAGTTTAGTGTCATCTGCAAATTTGATGAGTTTCCCTTCTATGTTGTACTCTTGTTCTACTAGGAACAAGATACTCCAGAAATTATGTGGAACTAAATGGGGAGTTTCAGCTGCCACCCTCAGATATCAGCACTAGAGTTGGTCTACTCCACAGAAGAATACGGTACTCCTGTATTGCTTAATGGCTGCCATACTACCATGTTTTCCCCAAAATAAGACTGGGTCTTATTTTTTTTATTTATTTTTTACCAAATGACCCATTAGGGCTTATTTTGGGGGATGTCTTATTTGCGGCTGCCCACCCACTCCATTCCATCTGCTTCCTAGGGCAGATGCTCAGGAGGCGAGGGCAGTGCTGGCAGTACATGTCTTCAGGCAAGGAGGAGAGCAGCTCAGACAAGCAGGGGAAGCCGAAGGACTGGGTGATGCAAGCCTCCCCTGCCGCCTCCTTCCACCTGCTACACTCTTTCCTTTGCAAGCAGATGAAGCTTCCAGTCTCTGTCATTTCTCCCTCACAGGCAAAAAGAGTCTAGATGCCTATGGGGGTGCTTGAAAATGGAGCACTCCATTTCCTATAAGCACCCAAACACTTTTTGCTCCAAATAGAGGAATGATGGAGACTGGAAGCTTCATCTGCTTGCAGAGGGGGCACTTGGGAATGGAACTAATCACTCTGAGGTGGAAATGGCAGCAGAGCATTCCACTCATCTCCAGACCTGGTCCATTGTAGCTGCCGAAGCTCCACCTTCCGTTGTCCAGGTTGCAGCCATAACAGAGCAGGCCAGGTGATGAGTGGAGTACTCTGCCACTGCCACCTCGGTACCTGGACTACGAACAGATGGTGCTTGGGGGGCAGTCTGTGAGGGGGGGGCAGAGGAGAAGGGATGCTGGTATTGCTGCTGCTGCTGGCACCATTGAGAGGGGGCACAGAAGAGACCCTCAGGGACTTCACAGGAAAGTGAGTGCCTGCCTTACCCAGGAGTTCAGGTTGTAGGAAACAGGATTCTGGGGATCTGGGGGCATCCGGGGAGCCCCTTCTTCTCTGGGACTCTCCTGATGATTTGTCTGCTTGGGGCAGCCAGGAGGGAACTTCAAAGTGGCACAGAAGGGAGTCGATGCCACCACCACAAGATGAGGTGGGGCAGGAGCTTGCACAGCCACCTGCCAATTCTGTCCCACCATAAGATGAAATGAGGAGGTGGTGGGTGTGGGTGGCCTGGTGAATGGGTGCAGGGCACTTGGGGCAGCTCCAGTTCCCCCCACCTGCCTCACCTCACTTTGTGGCAGCACCAGTGTGATACATGTTCTCCTGCTCCATTGTGGCAGCAAGCAACTAGATGGTGGGTCAGAATGGGTGGGCTCTTAATTAGGGCTTATTTTGGGGTAGAGCTTATATTAGGTGCATGGGTAAAAATCAGGCTAGGGCTTATTTTCGGGATAGTCCTATTTTCAGGGAAACATGGTAGTAAAACATGCCAGACTCAGTGATACCATGAGAATTATAAATGGATGTTTTAAAACCTCTCCAACTTGCTGGCTTCCTGTTCTGAGCCACATAGCAAACCACTAGTAAGAGACTCTGGAAAGATGTAAAGAGCAGCAAAGGTGATTGGGGGGAGGGGCTAAAGGCTAAAACATGAAGAAATGTCGCAGGGATTGAGTGTGTCTAGTTTAGTGAAAAGAACTAAGGGTGACATGACAGTTCCAATATTTGAGGAGCTGCCACAAAGAACAGGGATCAACATTTTTGCAAAGCCCCAGAAGGCATAATAAGAAGCAGTGGATGGAAACTAATCAAGGAGAAAAGCAATCAGTGAAAACCATAAACCAGTGGAATAGCTTGCCTTCAGAAGTTTGGGTGCTCCAACACTGGAGGCTTTTAAGAAAGGCGTGGACAATCCTGAAGAGGATTTGCACCTCACACTGCATCTGCCAGGACTCTCTGTATAAATGGGGCATAGCATCCTCACCTCAGTGTGACTGCAGGGTCTCACATCAAAATGTAGATGACATTGTGACTGGCTGTAAACTGAGGGCATACATCTGTATCTGATTTTTTAAAATATAAGAACTTTTTTTCCTACACCTCCTCTATCATACCAAATTTGATCCTGTTCAATTTTGTCCAGCCCTTTAACATATTTTTTCCAATAATCCTTTGGATTGGAAAGAAGAATAATGTACGGAAGTATGAAGTTCTGGAATTCATCCAGGTCCTTAATAGCAGCTCAGCTCTGGGTCCTGTGACAGAAGAGAGGCGGGACTTATTGCCTCTCATGTTTGTCTCTCTGTGTATGGGTGTATGTGAATCATACACACCTCCCAGCTCCATTTTAGAACTTAAACTTTATTTTACAAGTTTTTCTACTGTACCACATCTGGTACTCTGTTGTGCTACTTTTGTAGAGTTATCCTGCTGATGGACAGAGGGACACAGTTCCAAGCCCCTTGCATAATTTCTTCCCAACATTCCATTAGATTGGAAAAATAAAAATTGTCACTCAGAAATTCAAACACTGAAGCATGCCTTTGTATTTTCAATTTTCATCATCTATATTCTGAGAGGGCAGTATCTTCCTTTGAAGTTGGTCAACTTTTTCCACACTTTCTTTCCTCTACTGTTTATCAAAACTTTAAAAAATGTGTTTCTGCAGTAACAATGGCTAGTGCTGCTTCTCTCTGCTGCCCATGTTAATTCTTGGTTATTTATTTGCAGCTAAGCAAACATTGCACATTGCCCTGGGTAGTGTCAAACATGAATCCAGTATTTTGTTCCCTTGGCTAATTAAATATGCAGAATTCTGAATAATGGAAGACTTAACCTATATTCTAATTATCTTTATATCTTTATATATATAACTACAATATGTACTATATTTTTATTTTTCTTAATTTTATCTTATTAAATTAAATTAATAATAAAATATATCTCCATATACAGATCCTTCTCTGCCATCTCTCCTGCCCTTTAGAAAGGGGTCCCCAACCCTCGGTCTGTGGACTGGCATCAGTCCACAACATGCCAGAAACTGAGTTGACAAACAAAGCTCCATCTGTGGGATTCAGGCAGCATGCAAAACCATGCTCCTTCCAGTCCACAGAAAAACCTCTCTCCGTGGAACCAGTGTCTGGTGCCCAAAAGGTTGGGGGGCACTGCTTTAGAACATCTTATTCCTAGAAGCAAGGTGAACCCCAGTTTTCTAGCTTTCTGAAAGAGCGTTAAGGCCTGACTTTGCCAATTGACATAGGTAGAGTAGTGTTGGGCAACCCTGGGGGTGATTAGTGATGTGAGGGTGCTTTCTCTACCTGTTTTAACTTGCAATGTCTCAGTTTTAACTGTGTTCTTAACTCTGTGTTAACTTTGTTGTATTTATGCTTTATACCTCTTTTTATGTTTTTATTATAAACTGCCCAGAATCTCTTAGGTGAAATGGGCAGTGCAAAAATCTAATAAATACATAAAAAATACATCAATAAAAAATGTAAGAAAGCAATGCAAAATGCCCCTCCAGAATCAAAGAGATATTAGGAATGTCTCCCTCTTGTGTAAAACACAATGTTTTTGAATAATAGCTACAACTGCAAAATCTATTAATATGGATACTCATACCATAATTATTATAAAACAAAGTTACAATTTTAAAGAACATATGGTTAAAAAAATTAATAAACTTTATCCGTAATAGCACTGAAAACAGCATAAAGCGTTCAATATCTATTTTAATATAGTATTAACATTTTCAGAAAAAGTACCACAAAGGTTAGTTGATAATACTCAGATCTCAGTACAGTAATAAGTTTAAATTTTACTTACTGTTTTCCTATAATGCTCAAGTGTTCTAGCTGAAGTGGATAGAACTGGGTAGTTTTTTTCAATAACAAACAAACCTGAAGACTTCAAAAGGTCCAATCAGAAGGAAGGCCTTTCTGTTTTATATCATCTAACCATATAACGTAACAATCATTAACTTTCTGTAGTTATGTAATTTTTTTTGTTTGTATGTACTTTTTAAAATTACCCTGAATTGTCAGTTTTGGATATTTGAATATCAGTTCTCCGGTGCTGACTGCAATAGAATTAAGTAAAAAATAAGTTTAAAAATAAGGTTCCATTGCAGAATTGATTTCATTTGTTCTTAGATTGCTGACCATCCTGCCTAGAGGGTGGCTAACCAATGGTGGAATTCAAATAAGTTAACAACCGGTTCTCTGCAGGTGGGGAGGCAGGGGGGAGCTGCCGCAAGACGGGGGAGAGGGGGGAGCTGCCCTACGCATCCCGCAACAATTCACCATGCCGAAGGGCCCCCACAGCCAGGCCTACCATGCCCTGACACTTGTCATAATTCAAGTCAGTTTAATTCAAAGTGTTCTCCTTTGCCTGAGAACCTTGTTATATAGATGTTAAAAGCTGCATTATTAAGCAAGTCAAACAGAAGTGCATTTATGCTCTAAGGGAAGGAACAACAAAGAGGCACTGAAGCTGCATATGTCATTGCTGGGAGATTAATGGCATGCGGAAATTGATAAGACAAAAAGAAAGAGTCTTATCTTAGAACTAACCTGGGAAGCTTACTAAAAGCAGATTTATTTATTCAACAGGAACAGAAAAAGCAAAAAACTACAATCATGTCAGTTTGCTGAAAAATTTCTTAAATTTATTTTATTCTATTTATCAGTGTCATTAGCTTGGAAGAAGTGATATGAGAACATACATTCCCCTTTTTTTTTTTCGTGGAGCAGCCTACAAAACTTAGGGTTGGTGTTGATTTAGGAGCAATTCAGGATTGTTTTCCTCCTCAATAACTTGCAATTCTCCATTCTATAAGCAGCCACACTCAGACCTTTTTCAGTCTAGTCTATGGAGATTTGCATCCTCTTTCAACCAAAGTATTTCCTAATATTGATCACAACCATCCGTCTAAAACAGCGGTTCTCAATCTGTGGGCCGCGACCTTTTTTGGGGTCGAATGATGCTTTCACAGGTGTTACCTAAAACCATTAGAAAACACATATTTCCGATGGTCTTAGGAACTGAGAAACCGCTCCTCTATCCAGCCGCCGCCACCGCCCTCGTCCTCCGCCGGCTCTTCTGTCTCCAGGGCACCCGTCTCTGACAGCCTCTGCTCCTGCCACTGCAGTGCCATCGCAAGTGCCCCTGATGCTGCCCCGGGTCAGCTCAGCTGTGTGGGCGGCTGGGCCGAGCCGAGCCAGGTCTGGTCCGCTGCTGGCACTGCCTCTGGGCTGCTCCACGGCTGCCACTGCTGCTGGCTGAGCTGAGCTGCAGCATCAAGCTGGTCCCTCACCATCAGAGGCCGCCTCGGCCCTCTGGCACCTGGCGCAGCTTCTTCCCGGCTCGCCGGGCTCCGGGCCTTGGAAGTAGCCAGGTGGCGGGGAAGAGAGCGAGGTGGCGGCAATGCCTGCATGTGTGTTGGAGGCCAGCCGGCCGGGCCAGGAGGTGAGAAGCGGTGCCTTCCAAGTGGGAGCTGGTGCTCTGGCCATGCCCCTCTCGCATGTGATGAGTCAGGGAAGGGTTTGGCGGTGACGGGTTGCAATGCGTGAAAAGGGGCTCCCGTAACCCCGCCGCTGCAATGGTACTTAGGAAGCGGGGGGGGGTGGCTGGGAGAGGGCAAGAAGTGCCGGGATGAGGATGGAGGGCTCCAGGCCGGCGGGTGCGAGAGGGCGGCCGGCGACTCAGAGGTGCGTGGATCCTCCGTGCAGCTTCCGAGGCCCTGGAGGTGACACCATTGGCTCTCCACCAGGCTCTCTGCCAGCACCTCCCCCCCTCCCTGGGCAATTGTGTGGAGCTTCTTGTGTGTCCTTGGCAGCACCTGCGGGCAAGGCTGTGTGCCCAAGCCGAAACATTGTGCTTTTCCTACCACTTCTCCTCCCGTTGGTCAAAGAGGCAGACGCGATTTCCCTTTCCCTGGTTCTTTTCATCTGCGCTGGAAAGGACAATTTGAGCTATTTTATTACTGGTACCTAGTGCTTATTTTATTACTTTTGCCTTTGCTGAACTAGGGAAAATTGGTTAAAGTGATTTTCAGGAGCTGCAGAATGCCTCCAAGTAAAGCTGCCGCAATTACCCAGCCAATTTTTCCTGCTAGGGCATCTCTGTGTGTCTCCAGACCTTACTGGACTACCATCCCCAGCAGCCCTAAAAAGCACTGTGGAAGAGTGGGGAATGCTGGGAGTTGCAGTTCATCACCATCTGGGAAAACATGACTCTCCGAAGATCCTTCCTTCCTTCCTTCCTTCCTTCCTTCCTTCCTTCCTTCCTTCCTTCCTTCCTTCCTTTCTTTCTTTCCCCCTCAATCTCCTTCTTTCTCCATCTCCTTCCTTTCCCCTTCAATCTTCCTTCCTTTCTTCCATCTCCATCCCTTTCCTTTCAATCTGTCTCTCCTTCCTTCCTTCCTTCTTTCCTTCCTTCCTTCCTTTCCCCTCCAATCTTCCTTCCTTCCATCTCCATCTCCATCCCTTTCCCTTCAATCTCTCCTTCCTTCCTTCCCCTTCAAATCTTCCTTCCTTCTCCATCTCCTTCCTTTCCCCTTCAATCTTCCTTCCTCCCTCCCTTCCTTCCTTCCTTCCTTCCATCTCCATCCCTTCTACTTCAATCTCTTTCTCCTTCCTTCCTTCCTTCCTTCCTTCCTTCCTTCCTTCCTTCCTTCCTTCCTTCCTTTCCCCTTCAATCTCCTTCCTTCTTCATCTCCTTCCTTTCCCCTTCAATCTTCCTTTCTTCCTTCCCCTTCCCTCCCTCCCAACATTTTTGAGCAAGGAAGAGTAAGCTTCTCCAGAGAACATTGCTATATTGTTTTTGTGATTAATCACTATGCTTTAATTATGTTCAATTCATAACAATGAAAATACACCCTGCATATCAGATATTTACATTACGATTCATAACAGTAGCAAAATGACAGTTATGAAATAGTAACAAAAATAATTTTATGGTTGGGGGTCACCACAGCATGAAGAACTGTATTAAAGGGTCACTTCTGGTAAAAAAAAGAAGTAAAAAAAAAAGGAAACACACAGTTTAGTTAGATTGAACAATGTGTACTTATAGAAATGATTTGGAAGTCAATACCTTTTTCTCCTTTTTTAATCCTGCACTTCTCCATCTTAATGTTTATTTTCATTTCATTGTATTTTATGTTATAATAAATGTCAATAAAAGTTATTAAAAAGAGAGTGCTATTTAGGATTAAATGTTTCCATAGAAGTCAGCATCTCCAGTTATTGAGAGGGGAAAAGAGGCTAAATTCCAGAATGATTGGAAATGGGTCAAACACTTATCTTTCAGCACCTCATAATCTATAGACCACAAAAAATTGAGATATAGATAAAACAAAGGATTTCTCTGCTTCTTCTCTTTGTCATTCTGCCTGCTCATTAAGAGAGTGCTATTCTAAGGTCACTTCCCTCTGCCTTTTCCAGATATGCAAGTACAGAGCATTTGCTCTTAAGTTTTCCTTCAAGTAGTTTTGTCTATCCAAAATATATATTTTCTTAGGCGCCTGATATTTTAGTTGGACAGTTATGACAACTTCACACCTTGAATGATCCAGTATTCTTAGCATACACTCCTGACAGACCACAATGCACTGCAGTGCTATGGGGAGAGAGATGAAGAGTGTTTGTGTGTGTGTGTGTGTGTTATTCATGTCAGAATCTCTCCAACATGCACATGCAGAACAATATAACTACCGCTGCTAAATTGTGGCAATTAACACTTCTGATAGCAATAAATTGAAAGATTACAACATCATTTCACATATGTAGTTCCAAGGCTCTTCCCTTGGAAACTCTACAATGAATTCAAGGTTCAGATGGTTTTATATGTAACCTCCTATCCTAAAATAGATATTGAGAAAACAGTTACATTTCTTCCATTTCAAAACACACTAAGAATAATGCCAATATAATATTCTATAATGTATCAGCTAAAGCAGAAAGTCCAATATAGATTATAGAAATATTGAAAAAAAGTTATTCATATTACAAATATCAATATGCATGCATGAGCTCCTCAGTGCAAATAGAGAGATCCTGGGGATAGCTCAAGAGTTGGTCACTGCACTTACATTGTCATGTAACTAAATTTTCTTCAACGTGCATATAAACACAAACTGTTTAATATGTAGATCCTGAAAAGCATAAGTAGCCAAGATGCTCTCCTTAAGAAATGGGGAAATTTTTGAGAGAGACCCACTGAATAATAATAATAATAATAATAATAATAATAATAACAACAACAACAACAACAACAACAACAACAACAACAACTAATTCTGGCTGCACAAGACCAAGCCTTAAGGACAAATGCATATAAAGTCAAAATTGAGAAGACAGCAAAAGACAGTAAGTGCCGCCTATGCAAAGAAGCTGAAGAAACAGTGGACCACTTGGTAAGCTGTTGCAAGAAGATTGCACAGACTGATTACAAGCAGCGGCATGACAAAGTAGCAACAATGGGGCATTGGAAGATCTGCAAAAAATATCATTTGCCTGTAAGCAAAAACTGGTGGGATCATAAAATAGAGAAAGTCATAGAAAATGATAAAATTAAACTGCTCTGGGACTTCAGAATTCAAACAGACAAGCACCTGCAACATAACACTCCAGACTTAACAATTGTCGATAAGAAAAACAAAAAAGTCTGGATAGTGGACGTGGCAGTGCCTGGAGACAGCAGAATAGAAGAAAAAGAACTGGAGAAGATAATAAAATACAAAGACCTACAAATAGAAATAGAAAGAATGTGGCAAAAGCAAGCAAGGGTAGTACCAATAGTGATACAATCTTGGGTGCAATCCTAAAACAACTGGAGCACCACTTGAACACCATTGATATTGGCAAATTCGCTATTAGTCAACTGCAAAAGGCAGCCTTAC